TGCGTTTTGTGGCTTCCATTTAAAACAGTTCTGCAGTCCCGTCCTTCTGAAGTTAAAGTAAACTGGAAGGCTCAGTGGTTAATTCTGTAAAATTTAATTAATTGCGGGGTGGACATGAATGGCCGATCCCCCGACGAAGTAGTTTTACCAATCGCAGAGATTATTCATTCGAACTTAAACTAAGTCTCAAGTCCTGACTAACTCCATCAGAAGGTAACAGTTTTCTTAGCCTAGTCAAGATATTCCTCACCCGGACGTTCATTACCGTGTTCACAAGAGCCACCAACGTTCCCTGTCCTGAACCAAATGGTTCTATCCCTCACCCAAAACCACATTTCTCTTAGATTCATTTCAATATTATAACTACTCCAGTACGTCATCCTATTTGCGTTGCCTGTTTCGAGGACCTAATTTCGAAGTCCATAGTGTTTCATGTTTACAACACAATTCCACACAATTGCAATATTTGTGGAAGAATTGATTTTAGTATGTTCTCTACTGACAAAGAACACAGGTGTACGTAAACAGCAAAAAGTTATGCAAAACATATTGTTCCTTGCTTTTGTAAATAAACTATAATATCAAAACTTTGACGTATAATAGTAGAATACGTTAATTAATATTTTATTTTCCATAGGAGCGAAGTCGAGTAGTTACCGGCTGTCAATCTTATCCTACATTCTCTCAATTCGAAAACGTTAGTCTAGTCCTGAGTTTTTGTCAATAAATTCTGAACTCGAGATCCTAACTTCGACACTCGATATGAAATTTGTGTCACTGTGGGTTATTCCGACACCATGTTTTGTTACAGATAAAGCAATGCACAAAAATTCTGAGGTATGTGCCATGACTTATGTATGACGAAATTATTTCTTAAGTATGCAACCAAATTCGGTTTAACAGATAAACGTCTGAATAAATTAGTAAATTCGGTGGTTTAATTTTATCACCGAAACAATTTTTAATGTGGAAGGACACGAAAGCATTGAAGAGTGTGATGCGTGTCTATTCTCGCATCGACTTAATATAACACAACCTGTTTCCTCAAAAATGTCTCAAAATTTCAAAGGAGTTACTGATTTTGCAGTGGCCTGTAATTCCACTGATATGTAAAATTTTATCACATGTGTTCTACAGACTCATATTGCAGATATCAGAAACACTGGGTCGACACATCGCAGTTTATGTAGAAACTTGACATCGTTTCGGAGGAGAAACTTTATTAATACACTACGTCAGACTTGTGCTTGAAAAATTGACGTAGTCAAAAATATCTCCGCCTTTCTTTTCTACTTTCGCAAGAACTTTGCCCTAAACACAGTCCACACTCTCACAAAATATTGCTTCGAGATCACGTAACTTACGCTCCTGTCCAGCGCTAAGTTTGCCGAATGGTCTCTTCCGCCCTGCATCTCCGCACACTTTCCCCCCTTCCCCCGCGCCTTTCGTGTAAGCCAAAGCCGGATTTTATTCCCATTATATTTTATCGGCATTTTTATATTCTGAGAAGAGTGCGTCTACAAATTATGCAGACTTCCTTTCGCAGTACATCTGCTATTTGCTTCACTTGAAGATGATTATGAAACGAAATGGATTACTGGATGTCTGTAGCAATGACGCTGGTTGGTTGAACGGGAGACAGAAGAAAGTCCCTGATAATTTAGTTACTGAAACGCACTTTGGTCGGTGAAGCACAACCAACAAAATATTTGAGCTGTTTAACGCGCTATAGCAACATCAACTGTTGATAAAATATATGCAATGTATTCGAATCAGTGATAATTTATCCGGTTTATTGGCAAAGTTGATGCATCTTCTGCGCAATGCCAATCACGAGAGAGACGCAAAATTCATTTTAAGATGCCTTGGACAAAATTAAAAGAAATATAGTAAAATATAAATCAGTCCGTACCGCAAAGAGAACATCATACCTCACCATTACAAAAATAAAATGGTGAGTGTTTGTTTTAAATTTAACGACGCCCGTTTAGAGTGAGAATCACACGAAACCCACATATAAAAAATAAAAGACTGTTGATTTTTTAAGCAGGTTGAACTTTAGGGAGTTAAAACGAGTACATGGCTAATGAATAAAACAAAGAAGGATTCTTAACGCCAGTCGAAGGAAATTATATATACGTACGGCCGGCCTAGAAGTAAAGAGGAACGTTCTTTCACTGTAGCACGGAATAACTCCCCACCACGCGACGCACGCCAGTGTAACTAGGGGGGTCTCTGTGGAATGACAGTCTGAAATGACTTTCATGAAATGCGCGGCATCCCAGTGCCGGAAATAAATCTGTAATTCAAATTGGAGCTTTGATAATCGGAGAGTTTGCATCACTGCTGAAATCAGTGTGCTTTTCACCAAATATGAGATACATTTGAAAATATTGCAGGTTAAAGTGTAATAGTGTAATGACATCGCACGCGGCAGACACCACAAGCCGTGGTATTTTTATAGACTAGGCTATTAAATTAATTTCGACTGTACGTGTCACAATTTCGAAAAAACTTTTAGGCCATCTGGACCATAATCAGTGCAAATTAAGTAGATTGTGTCCCCTCAAAATAACAGTAATTGCAACTAACCAGTGCTTCAGGTGATTTAATGGTGAGTTTAAAATTTCAGGGCGAAGAATTAACATCGAATAATTAAGTAGGATTTGATATTTTCACGGCGGTGAAGCCGAAGTTGGCTGTCTTCTGGGTTCTTGCGCCGTAGAAGGTTACCGACGATTTAGAGGTCCTTGCTGCCTCCACCGTCAGTGCCATTAGTCTGTACATACAATTCACACGGCGCTACAACATCTTTAAGTGAAAAATATTTCTGTTTATTTTTTTGGCGAGTTTTATTCAAAGAGTCGAATCGAACGGTTGATGATTATTATTTAAAGACGCACAAGGAATATTTTTGTTCTAACTTTTCTGTAGCTACGAGACATAATTCCTGCAAAATGTCAATACTGGAATTTTATATGCAACGTTCCAACTTCATATTTAAATAAAACCAGTATTTCAGTTTGTCTATGTTTTTATAACAGTAGATCATCGCTTGAGATTCCAGGTCAGCATGAAAAGTTAAGTAAGAGTGCTCGTGTAGTATTGTAGTTTGCATTTACCGCAACTATACATACCAGTTTCATCCGTTTAAATTGCAGAAAATAAAAATAAATTTCTTATACGAAGAAACGTACAACACATATGGTAGAATACCAAAGCGAAGTGTGAGACTAACCATAATATTAAGAGCGGATACTTCATTCTAGATTTTTCCAAATGCTCCTGTCATTGAAATTATTATCTCCTCTACCCTCTCCCCCGGAAGAGCTATTACATCTGGTCCTGACTTCCTCCTTAGATGAACTCACCTATTTGTCATGGACAGGTCGAAACTGCTCTCAGGCTTCGTACTTCCACTGACCGCAACTTTAATTCTGCTGCAGCTTCTGAGAAAATTAGCCGCTTCGAGTAAGACGGTGAATCAAAGGCCATCACGTCACAGCACACGGCCGTTTTAACCTCTCCAGTGTAAAGGTTACCGTCGTTTCTCGCAATTTATCGCGAATCGAAATTCCATTACTGCCTCAGTAAGCCTTTATTAATATTATCGGGGCCTGTACCAAAATATCCACCTACAGGTACTAACTGTCACGCTAATGACTTTGTGATTCAGAGGCCCCGTTGCAACGCAAATGGCGTCCCCTAATGGGACTGGCCACTCTGTGCCACTGTAATGATACACTTTGTGCAGAATAGCATGTTACAAGGGTTTACGACTGCCTCGCTGATGTACAAAATTAATTCTAACAGCGTCTCTGCCGGCGCACGATATTTCTGGTGGTAGACGTCTGCTTTGGAAAGAGTAATATTCTCTAAGCTACACTTTGTTTGTTTGTTGTCAGTTTGGTAGGATTTAAGGCAAACTCTAAACCTCAGATAATAAAGCAATAATATGCTACGGATTACATCAAGAGAACGTAAGAAATGGTTAATTTTCAAACGTAGCACCTTCATCATCACTGATTATTAACGAGGAGATCTTTGATCACGTTGTAAGAGAAAATGTAATTTTTTTTAATCACAGAATGTATATTCAAAAGCTAGGCAATTTTACGTAATTATGTGTGTCTTTCTGTCCATCCCAAAATACCAATCGTATTAAATAACAAATTTGTCATTGAACTGTGTATTTTTTACGATCCATTACTAACATAGCATTTGTCGTGTGAGACACAAATTATTCAATGACAGTTGAAGCAATTAGTATAACCATTAACTTGGCATGATTAAGACAGTAGGCTAATTAAAATGCTAATAATTTTGTAATCAATATTAAATTAGAGTTTCTGATTTGAGCTTATAGCAGCCGGTGTTAGGTTATATTTTAACTCAGATCTTATGGTATTTTCGTTGGGTTTGGAATTCAGTCATTAGAATTATATCATCGTAGAGCACGTCTACAAGCTTTAAGGACCTACGTAATAATGATATTTAGTTGAAATTTAAGTGGGACTGATTTATCTTGTGTATTTATCTCCAATCACTTTTTTATGCCCTGCGCTGATGGTCTTGAAGAGGCGCGTCTGTGTGAGGCAGACGCCATGCGTCGCTGTACGATTCGTATAGTTCGTCCTGACGTCATCGATAGAAAATGTCATGAGGAACAATCTTCCGACAAGTTTCCTTCCACTTTTCCCAGTTGATGCCACACGCATTTTAATTGTCTTTAAAAGTAAAAAGGCCACAACAATCTTATATTTTAAGTTTCCGTATAAATTACACGTGCGCCATTATATATACTGATTTATTTGTATATATACTTAATAATATTTTAGATATACTTTATTATTCTGAGCTGATAAACTTCCTACACTTCAAATTCCATGTGCCAAAGTTGTTTCCGTTAAAGTTTGGTTTTTAATTATTCTTACTATATTATTTAAATATTCATGCGGAAATAAGAATTATTAATTTGTGTAATTTTATATATGTTGCAGATTCCGTTTCCGAATTGAGAGGAAATATATTTTGCTTGTCAAAAACTTCGGGACCCCCTGCATCATGGCACTTTGCGCGAGTCTCCGAAGAACGGCTTCATATACGTCTGAGGTAAGCGCACATCCTGCAAATAAAAATACACGACTAACTCGTTACAAGATGTAGTGATTTTCGGTCATAAAAATCGCCAGAGTGAAAATAAATTGGAATAAAATAATGAAGTATAATTTATGTTGTTTAGAATAACACTGACCATCAATTTTAATTATTGGTTTTCCGGATAACCGAGTACAGCGTTTTCAATACTTGACGGTTATAATATAATTAGTTCAGCTTTGTTGTACAGTAAATAACTGAGACCAACAGCAAATAAGCGAAAGCTAAACACCGATGCAAATTAATATGTTAGCGCAGCCCAGAACACGGAAAATGCAACACTGGATAGCGTAATGGAAAACTGCTACGTATTGTTGGGGAGACTGGGGCGTCATCCCTATTATGCGTTCATTTATCACCTCGTGAAAATTCATAAGCACTGGCATGGGTTATTAAATTTGCATCCAGTACGGCTCTCCTATTGCTGCCGTGTGCGTTATCTTCTTTTACGAAATTTGTTCACGTACGTACGTACAGCTGCATTAATTAACATCGTGATGTTAATTAATTCACATCTTTTGATGCACGTGCCATAATGCCGTCTGATTGTTCCAGCGGAGTAGAGAAACAGCTCATCAAATGTGATTCGCTTACAGTATTTATCGGTGTTTCTGCCGACTTCCAAAAAGTTTAAACTAGGCACTATTTTAATACAATCAGACGTGATTTATCGCTGTAAGTTACAATTACATCAGAAGCTACGAGTCATCTGTGATAATGTCCATGGTATGGCGAATGATGGAAGAATTATTTATTCAAGTAAATTGTCTCCACAGTTATCAGGCTGATTCCCAAATGTAGAAGGGCGAACGACTCCAACGGTTTTATGAAGCACTGTAAAAACGTCATATCATTAGCGTCACGCAGTCCCCATTTGTAGGCGTTCTTTACGCTTGGGCTTTGTCAGAAAATGCCTAATGGGCTTGTCCTGTCTCCTTGTATGTAGGCCATGCCTTTGGAGACGAGTCCACACAAGTTTTTTCTGACTTCCTGCGTGAGGAACGCTCGTATTGTCGAGGTGGCGGGACGATTCTCCGCCATTACGAAGTGATCCAACGTCCTCTGCAGTAACTGCTGAAGGCAGCGCCCCTGGTGGCGTCAGTAGGACAGAACAGTCACAGTAGCTGTTCTTTGCTTCAACCAAATTTTAAGAACACCTAAAATTGGATACCGTATCACAATTTCACAGTGGTAGTTTTTTTTAATTTCATTTTCTACATTCGGAATTTCCAGCGTGAATGCTCGAATAATGGTCCTCTGTGATCACGCCACTATCAGACATTTAATAAATTATTCGTGATGCCGTGTATCACTAGCAATTTGAATTACTCTTACCATCATCTGCGGCTGTGCGGTGAACGGTCTGTGGTTCGAAATATGCGTCCTGCCAAGTCGAAGAGCTAATCGCGCTGTCATTTTTCTGAACCCATATAAAGTATCCGTACTGCTATGTGCTATCGATCATACGAACTATATAATATTATGCCCAATTGTTGACTTTTATAACTAACTAACTAACTAACTAGATGACTTACCGAACCCGAAGGTTCATCACCGAATTAACCAAAGCCCTCCACCGGACCGTGTCCTGGGCGTGCCGAAGAGTCCGTCCGGTTTCGAGGCCTGATTATCTTTCTCGTAACAACGCTGTATTTTTACTGTGAGAGGTTGTTAGCCTCACGCCCAACCCCCAAGCTGGACGACCACCCCTCGATCGCTGTCCGCGACTGCTTATTCAATATATTCGCAGCTAACCACAATTCCTGGAGGTCCGGAACCTGAGGACGCGCCATGCGGTGGTGACAGGGACCCAGTAAATGTACAAAGCAGACCTCCCCAATCTTGTTCAGTTATATCAATAATATAAAATATGTATAAATAATCGAAACAAACGAAAGCTATTAAATATAAGTAAATGCTAGAAAGGAAATCAATGATGTCTGTATTCCGAGTTCTATACTCGGGTGCAGAACTATACCAATGTGACGTGTGGACACATCAATCTATAAGTTGCTTAGTTAAACTGCGTTTCCTGCTAACCGCATAATGTACACTTAAAATTTTGAAAGAAAACATGTTTCCCATTTCTTCGAAAAAAAATTTTTTTCTTCTTAGTATTAAATTCGTTAAACAATGCTCATCTTTCAGCAATAAATAAAACAAATACGTGTATACGCGCTCGTACAATAAATTGTTGGCTTCCTCTTCTACAATCACGGATTGATAAAATAATTTTACACAGAGATTTATGTGTTAATGCGATAGGCGCTTCCTTAAAACGTCCCGCGTCGCAGAAGACAACAGAAACGTCTTCCCCTTACACCGCGTGCTGCCAAGTGCTCTGTTGCGTTTTGTCCCCAGACGATGGATCCTACGGAATCGAATTTGTGTCTGTACGTATTCATATTTTTCTAAGACTGAAGTAACTGCGCCGTGGTTAAGAGCGAGGAAGCTAAAAATTATAATATTTTGCCAACTGCAACAGTATTTCTGAGTTTTGTAACAAAGTCAAACGATTCGCTTTTTAGTCTTTGTTTGTTACGGAGAACTTGGAGAACACCGACCACAGCACCGAAGACTCACAAGCACTTCCTGAGTCCCGAAGTGTTGTTGCTTGTCAGGATACGCGATGCTCATCGCTTAGAAACAGCAGCAAAGGACATTTTCGTTGAGAAGCGACGCTGGAGATTGGGCACACGTTCTGTTTGTGAATACAGCTTGTTCGCACCTGCGCAGTTCTTACCCAGCTGACGTCAGGAGCGGCCTAGCAACAGGGGTGACCTTGATTCGAGTTTTTGGAGGGGTGCTTGATTTTGGTTTTGCACAGAGGTATTTGATTTTTGCTGGGTTGGTTTTTAAATGACACTTTTTCTATGGGTACTAAGAATTATAACCTTGAAAGCAGTGCCCTGTTTTAAAACTTCCATGAAATTTATCCAGTAAAATAAGAGACATTAAAGGCCTTGAGTATGTTTTTGTAAGAAAGACAGCTTCATAAAATCGTACTGATCCAATCTTTCTCATAGAGACAGCTGTGGGAATCATAGGACGCGTATAGATTCAACTCTATAGCTCCTTTACTATTAAGACCTGACTTTTCATTTCAGTTTTCCTTCATTATTCCGTATCACAAAATGTCGATAAAAACTTATATTTGATTTATAAATTTTATACTCCGGCGTTGTTATTACACTACACAGTAACTACGCTGTATGCTTGTAACTCACTGAATATGTTTTTGTGAAAACGTCTGTCTTTTAATCATGTAAGACACGACTCACGTGAACGCGGTATTCGTGTGAATTATTTATGAGTAGCATCCTTACATCTACGGCTGTAACTCGAGTGTTCCATCTCCCGCATTTCTGAACAAGGGAAAATATTGTTTTATAACACAGTTTATATTTGAAAATGACAGTTACTTTCTGCGAAGACTTAAGTCTCTGTTTAGATTTATCACCTCTGAAAGAGATGTCATCTCCGAGATACTAGCCACTCCTGGTGGTACTGAAAACAATTGTACGGACACACGGGCGTTTCTTCTAAAGTACCTTTCATTTCCTGAACGTTCTAAAACCCGCTTTGCCTGCATCATAACGATGGAGGCAGTAAGCGCCTCTGAAACGTCGGTCAATTCCTTCCAAACATCTCACAAAACAGTCATCTTAAACAATGCAGCTGAAAGCAAAATCTTCCTTACTACAGCCACGGCTTCAAATTTACAAAAGTGTACATTATTTCGCATATTTCTAGTTCCGTTATTTATATAGACTAATTCTTTGCGTCTTAGCTTACTGTCTCTATTTCGAAGGAAGTCCAACATTTTGTCCGCCCCCGCAAGCACCATTCGAACAATTCTAATTTTGTAAGATCAGGTACGATAGCCATGCCTATAAGTTACAACGTGACAGTGCGAGGTTCTGAGGTGGGACCTACACTAGGACCACTTCATGGAAAATCTTCAAATTTTATATTTAAGCTTATCATTGTAAAATATAACATCTTTGTTATTAAGGCATTAAGTTTAAAGTAAAATGGCATAGACGCAAAATTATGCAAATCTGCGCTACAAAAAATCATGATAATTAAAAATCAATAATTACGTAAATATTACTATAATTTTCTGTTGTTGCTAATATCAGGACATTGAAGTATTGGATATTGACTTGGCCCCCCAAGAAATAAGTCTGAGTATCTAATATTTTTGTGAAAAATTATCTTCCTCCTTTGAAACAGTCTGATTGGTTTACAGCTAATTAATAAAATAAAATAATGTTACGTACGTCAGCGTTTGTCACAAGAATTTTCTACTTATTAACACTTCTACTAGTCTGACCGATTGTGCATAAATTCTATTTGATCAGCGGACCTGCAAATACTAATGATCCCCTCCTTGCAACACAGTGGGCCTTGTATTTAACGAATTTAGAATCCTGGATCATTGGAACGGCGATGTATGGCTATTACATAATACCAGGAATATGTCAACCTACAGCCACATAATCGCGACTGATTCGTCTGGATGTACAGGGCACGAAATGCAGCCAGATATATTACCAATCATATGATTACGGCACCACACATCCTGGGCCTTGTTCCGGTCGACTTCAACCACTTGGAAGCGTTAAATAAGCTCTCCAGAGGACGACATTCTAATGCGAATGTTGGGTCAAAGCCGAGGTTCGAGTAACTGAGGTATGAATTCATTTCCTCGGTAAACGAGCGGGTGGTTCATCGCAGGAACAAACCCATTCAGTCCCTTCGGGGATTGTGTGGAGAAGCAGACTGTACGTCTCTTGTGCCCTGTTCTTTTGTGCGTCTGCGTCGAAGAAATAAATACGAGGGTAATAAGGACCTGATCTTCCTTGCATGGGTTGAGATGCCTCGAAGGAATGATTTGAGGCGATAAACTGAGTTAAGTTCACAGTTGGATGAATAATAATTCTGCGGGGAAA